AAAGGTGCCACTGGGCTGTTTTCGATTGCTAGCTATGGGGGGGGGACGCGCAGATCTGCCCTCACAGAGGAGGGAGAGCTTGTACCTGAATAAAACTTGGTCTTAAAGGTGCCACTGGACTGTTTTGGATTGCTAGCTATGGGGGAGGGGGAAGCACAGATCTGCCCTCACAGAGGAGGGAGAGCTTGTACCTGAAGGCGGGCCGGGGGAGGGGGCTCTGCAACTTACCTGGCTGTTTCGTGCTCCTCGTGGCCCAACTGAGGGCTGCTGGGACCAGGGGGCGGGGCTTGTTGCATGTGCCCGCCCTCAGGGCTCCTTACTACCGGAGCTCCGCTCCTGTGCGCTCCCGCAGGAAATGACCCCTGATATACATGAAATACGTGGTATTAGATAGTGCCTGTGGTTGCGGCAAAAGTATTCCAGCTGCAGCCTAAGTATCTCTACGTAAAAAAGTTCATCACGATGAAGCAAGAAAATGATCAAAGTGCACTAGCCTGCCATGAGGCTAGTGAATCTGTTCGACACACAGGAGCTGTAGCCAGATTAATATTTTACGGAGAGACCAGGAATAAAATTTATAGGCGAAACGGATCGATGGAAAGGTTCTACATTTGAGAAAACACGGGCAGAATGCGGCATTTGCAGCTAGCCAGTGTGCGAAGGAAACTTCGGAACCTTCACTTCAGATGTTGTTTTCCCAATTCTGAGACGTTCCTCGGATGTAAACCTTCATTGGTGGACCTAGCGCCAGTTTGGTGTTAGTGGTTAATTGCGCGGACTCCAATGTGGGAGAACCGGGTTTGATTCCCCCACTCCTCCACTTGCACCTGGCTGGATGACCTTGGGCAAGCCGTAGCTCTGATAAGAGCTGTTCTCGAAAAAAGAGCAGTTTCTGTCAAGAGCTCTTCCAGCCCCACCTACCTCACAGGGTGTCTGTTGTGGGGAGGGGAAGGGAAAGGAGTTTGTAAGCCGCTCTGAGACACCTTTGGGTAGTGAAGGGCGGGGTATCAATCTAGTCTCTTCTTCTTCTCTACCTCACAGGGTGTCCGTTGTGGAGAGGGGAAGGGAGAGGAGTCTGTAAGCAGCTCTGAGACACCTTTGGGTAGTGAAGGGCGGGGTGTAAATCCAACCTCTTCTCTTCTCTTCTCTTTCTTTCATCTTTAGAGGCTTCACAAACATCTTTGTCTTGTGTCTATAGATCTTGCTACTTAACCTTCCTTTTCTTGGTCCAGTATTCACTTATTGGTTATCTTACTGTAATATGTATTACTGTTACGTGTACCTCAGTATTGTTTGACCTCTGAAGAAGGCCCCAATAGGGCGGAAATGTGTCAGGACATGTATGTTGGCTCTTGTGTTTAGGCCCCTTGAACTTTTTTATGAGGCTTTCATTGGGCCCGAATATGTTTTTATTTGTCTTTGTAATAAATACATGTATTTTTGTATATTATAAGTTTCAACTAGGTTTTTAATATTGGCCCTTTTATCAGACTTCTTTCTCACCCTTGTGGGCTATGATCTTGACCATAATTCCATCCTTCCAGAATAATTTTTACTCTTGGATGTCTTTCCATCCCCATATAAGAATGCTCTTTCTCTCTTTCCCCCCCTCTCTCTCTGCAAAAGAAGCCAGAAGTATAAGAGAGACTATGGTGGAGACAGACAACGGCCTTGCATCCAAAGAAAGGCTGGAGAGTTCCTCAAGAGGATCCCAAGAGCATATTTCCTTCCCAAATGAGCTGGCCGAGAGTGAGTACCCTTCACGGTTATGTCCAGGGAACAGGCAAGGAATATCCATGGGGGATTTCTGATTCACTTCTGAGCAACCTTTGGTCTGGTACAATCATACAGACTGCTGGAAAAGGGGGTCAGGAGGCCTTCTGGGGGCCTGAAATCTGGAGGAGCGGGAACTCCTTAAGGGCAGGAGCTCAGCTGTGGCTCTTCATGGGGTGAGGTATCCTTAAATACTAGATATTCTGGGACAAGGTGGAGGGGCGGTTAAGATCAGCTAGGCAGGATGAGGCCAAAGGGGCATCAATGCGATCTGATCTAATTCATTGCATCAAGAGCCAGTAAAACAGTACAATTCTGATATGAGAAGGATTAAAACAGTAATAACATGGGAATAGTATAAAAACATGAACAAGAGAAAGTTAATAAAATCAGTAAAATAACATAATGTTAATAGAAGAAGAAGAGAAGAGCTGGATTTATACCTCACCCTTCACTACCCAAAGGAGTCTCAGAGCGGCTTTCCAACTCCTTTCCCTCCCCCTCCCCACAACAGGCACCCTGTGAGGTAGGTGGGGCTGAGAGAGCTCTTGACAGAAACGGCTCTTTTTCAAGAACGGCTCTTATCAGAGCTACGGCTTGCCCAAGGTCATCCAGCAGGTGCAAGTGGAGGAGGGGGGAATCAAACGCCGATCTCCCAGATTAAAGTCCGCGCACTTAACCACTACACCAAACTGGATAAGAGAATCATACAATATTTTCAGCTAAAATAAGTTTATGTTTCCTAATAGCTAAGCAACAGAATTTTGCCACAGCATAAGTCACTGAGCTCTGAACATCTTCTATGAGGAATTTACAAAGGACTTCTGGCCTTAAGTCAAGATAAGAGGAGAGGGCTAAATCTAGCAGAAGGGGAAGTATAAGATGGTCTCATTCCTCCTGATAGAATCTGCAGAACAGGAGGACATGAGTAATTGATTCCACCATATTAGGGGCACCAATCCTTTCCTGCTGCAGTCACATAGATGCCTTTGGACCTTCCCGGCCCTCCCAGGTGCTAACAGGATCTCTCTATTTATTCCAGCAGAGGATGATCATGGGAATGAGAAGGGAGATGAACTTCACCAGCAAATGCCACATGGAATTAAAAATGAAGACTTCAAAGAAAACATCGGGAATCGAGGCAGACCCAAGAAAAAGAAAGGCAGCCGTATGGTTGAGAAGCAAGATGGAAGAAAACAAAACATACATTCTCCGAAGCACAGGATAATGAAGGCAAGTAAATCCATTCAGTGTGGAAAGTACTTCAAAAATAGATCACAGCTCCTTCTGCACCAAAGAATACACAGAGGAGAGAGACTTTTTGAATGCTCAGAGTGTGGAAAGAAATTCAGTCGGAGTCACAATCTTCAACAGCATCTAAGAACTCACACAGGCGAGAAACCTTTTGAATGCTCAGAGTGTGGAAAGAAATTCCGTTGGAGTGGCGGTCTTCAGTTGCACAAAAGAACCCACACAGGGGAAAAACCTTTTGAATGCTCAGAGTGTGGAAAGAAGTTCAGTCGGAGTGCCAATCTTCAACAGCATCTAAGAACTCACACAGGGGAGAAACCTTTTGAATGTGCAGAGTGTGGAAAGAAATTCCGTTGGAGTGGCACTCTTCAACTGCACCAAAGAACCCATACAGGGGAAAAACCTTTTGAATGCTCAGTGTGTGGAAAGAGATTCAGTAGGAGTGCCAATCTTCACCAACATCTAAGAACTCACACAGGGGAGAAACCTTTTGAATGCTCAGAGTGTGGAAAGAGATTCAAGTTGAGTGACACCCTTCAAAAGCATTTGACAACCCACACAGGGGGTGTGGAAAGAGATTCAAGTTGAGTGACACCCTTCAAAAGCATTTGACAACCCACACAGGGGAGAAACCTTTTGAATGCTCAGAGTGTGGAAAGAGATTCAAGTTGAGTGACACCCTTCAAAAGCATTTGACAACCCACACAGGGGAGAAACCTTTTGAATGCTCAGAGTGTGGAAAGAGATTCAAGTTGAGTGACACCCTTCAAAAGCATTTGACAACCCACACAGGGGAGAAACCTTTTGAATGCTCAGAGTGTGGAAAGAGATTCAAGTTGAGTGACACCCTTCAAAAGCATTTGACAACCCACACAGGGGAGAAACCTTTTGAATGCTCAGAGTGTGGAAAGAGATTCAAGTTGAGTGACACCCTTCAAAAGCATTTGACAACCCACACAGGGGAGAAACCTTTTGAATGCTCAGAGTGTGGAAAGAGATTCAAGTTGAGTGACACCCTTCAAAAGCATTTGACAACCCACACAGGGGAGAAACCTTTTGAATGCTCAGAGTGTGGAAAGAGATTCAAGTTGAGTGACACCCTTCAAAAGCATTTGACAACCCACACAGGGGAGAAACCTTTTGAATGCTCAGAGTGTGGAAAGAGATTCAGTTGGAGTTGTGCTCTTCAGCAGCACCAAAGGACCCACAGAGGGGAGAAACCTTTTGAATGTTCAGTGTGTGGAAAGAGATTCAGTCAGAGTGGCCATCTACAACAACATCTAAGAACCCACACAGGGGAGAAACCTTTTGAATGCACCGAGTGTGGAAAGAGATTCAGTCAGAGTGGCAAACTTCAACTGCACCAAAGAACCCATACAGGGGAGAAACCTTTTGAGTGCTCAGAGTGTGGAAAAAGATTCAGTCAGAGTGGCAATCTTCAACAGCATCGAAGAACCCACACAGGGGAGAAACCTTTTGAATGCTCAGAGTGCAGAAAGAGATTCAGTCAGAGTAGCGATCTCCTACTGCATCAAAGAACGCACACAGGGGAGAAACCTTTTGAATGCTCAGAGTGTGGAAAAAGATTCAGCCAGAGTAGTAATCTTCAAAAGCATCTGAAAACCCATACAGGGGAAAAACCTTTTGAAGGAAAAACCTTTTGAATGCTCAGTGTGGAGTTTCACTCAGCATGGAAATCTTCTACAGCATATTTATTAATATTTATCGTATGGCAGAGTTATACCCAGGTAGTATATAATAATATAAAATATGTAACCAAGTTGGTACAATGGGTATGTAGACTGACTAGGCAATCCCCCTAAATACTAATATCTAGTTTTTCAATCCACTCAGTCGCAGCTCAGGAGAGTTCTAAGAGCTCTGTCACATCTCCCTGGAAAGCACGGTGCTCACATTCCTGTGACAGATGGAAAATAGTTTGGCGGGCTGCACCACAGTCACATTTGGGTCCTGGTATTTTGCCCCATTCAAACAACAGGTCTGCACAACTGCCAAAGCCTGTTAGTATTCTTTTAGCCCTCTTCCATACTTTACGTGGCAATTCAATTCCTGCAGGCCTCTTGTTAGTGTTTATCAGGTTATAGAGATGGAGTGGAACTGATTGCATCCATGATCACAACCATTCATTCCCCAGAATGAAATTTTGTGATTGCAGGATTTTTGCAGATCTTATAGCTGGGTTTCGGGATCTTATTCTGGATAGGCCCATGTCAGCCATGTCTTTGTGAATGGGCAACTCTCTGTTTTCGATTATCTTTCTATATTCACGAAGAAGAGCATCTTGTCTTGGGAGATGCGGGGGAGCTAACGTTGGAGTGGGTTTAATACGTCTGCTGATGGTTCTCCTCATCGTGTTGCGTTGGATGTCAAGTTTGTGGAAATGGGGTCTGTTGAGCCACACTGAAGTACCATATTCTGCAGTACTATACACCAACCCCAAAGCTGAGCATCTCTGTGTTGTAGCAGATGCACCCCAAGTTGTACCACATCATTTTTGGAGAATGTTGTTTTATTTTTGTATTTTCGCTGTGACATAGATAAGATGGTGTTTACAGCTCAAGGCTCTGTCCATGGTGGTACCAAGGTGCATGGTTGTGTGTAAGTCAGGTGCCCATAAGATAGAGGTTCCAATCATGGTTAGCAAGATTGTTATTGAGCTGGGAAAAGGAGCATTCTGTTTTTCCCGAACTTGGGATAAGCCGCCATTTAAAGTAGTAGTCAGCCAAAAAACTGAGGTCCCTAGTCAGTATTTCTCAGTCCTTTCAATTGATTTGTTCCTTACTGCAATTGCCATGTCATTGGCATAAACACACTTCCTGGATATCGCCTCTAGAAAATTCCAGCTCTCTTCCTCTTGGTGCACCCTGGATAATGTTAAAGAGCTAGAACTTCTGGCAACCAGACAGTCATAGGATCTCCTGGCTGTACTACACACATGGAAACAATCTTTGACAGTTTCCTAAGAACCCACACGAGAAGAAACTAAGCTTAGCCCTTGAAAAGAGCTTGTCTCTTATTTTACACCTAAAAGAACCACAGATCATATGAAGCATTAACACTATATAAACTCTTGTAGAAAGCTTGAATCTACGCAGAAATGTTACCCTAGCTAGGAATTAATGTTTTAAAATCTTGGACTGTGGAACGAGCTTTAGCCATGTTTGAAGCCCTCAAATAGACCTCGCAGGGACGAAAGCAACAATGGGCTCTGCTGGTTGAAGGCTGTTCAAGAGCAGCTCATAACTCCTTTAGCCTGGAGGAATCCACACAAAGAAGGAACTTTATAAATGCTCCATGTGTGGCAAGAGGCACAGATCTGGTTTTCTAACAATCTAACAGTATAACAAACAACTGAGCAATTATAGATAAGTAAAGCTGCAGTGGCTCAAGTGGTTAAGATGCTGAACTGCAGGCTGTGGAAGGTCAGTAGTTCAGCAGTTCGAGACCCGGGTGCTGCATGATGGAGGGAGCTCCCGTCTCTAGTTCCAGCTCCAGTGTCTAGGCATGCGCATGGGTACAGAAGCGCTGACCACCGAGATGGGGGGGAAGACTACATCAAGTGCATAAGGTAACAAAGCATACACAGGACAGAATATGATCAGGAACCTAAAATACCATTTGGCAGCTTGCTGACAGTGGTTTATCTTGAAACAACTTGCTTCTGGTCCTTATTGAATTTATACTTTGTATTTACATGATTGTACTAAATTTTTTAAGGCGCTGCGGTGGCTCAAGTGGTTAAGACGCTGAACTGCAGGCTGTGGAAGGTCGGTAGTTCAGCCGTTCGAGACCCGGGTGCTGCATGACGGAGTGAGCTCCCGTCTCTAGTTCCAGCTCCTGCCAACCTAGCCGTTCGAAAGCAAGAAATTGCAAGTAGATAAATAGGTACCATTTCGGTGGGAAGGGAACAGCGTTCCCTGCGCCTTGGTGTTTAGTCATGCCGGCCACATGACCACGGAAACGTCTTCGGACAGCTCTGACTCTTCGGCTTTGAAACGGAGATGAGCACCGCAACCCTAGAGTCGGACTCGACTGGCTTTCGAGCAAGGGAACCTTTACCTTTAAAGATAAAATATACCATAACTCATAACATATACATGTAGCGGTTATGACTTTAACATGCAGTTAACAGAAACTTTAAATTGTAATAAATTTTATCTTCTGTTGAGATACAATAATATATAATATATTTTTATAATAGTGACAGTGTTGTGGCTATTAACATTTTCTTGATGCTTATAGGTGCAGTAAATTTAGAGGTTTAATGGCTGTTTTTGCTGCTACCAGTAAAGTGAAGATTAGCTCCTTTCTAATTTTTGGAATTGTAGGATCTGGCCAGTAATTTAAAAACAACACTTCTGGTTAGAGAGGTGCATAATAATCTGCGATTAAATGTATTTGATTCAATACTTCCTTCCAGAATTGTCTAATTTTTGTACACTGCCACCAACAGTGTGCATACATGCCTACCTCTTCACAGTTTTTCCAACAGAGTGATGAATGAGAAGACATCATGTGGGAAAGTGTGAGTGGTGTATGGTACCAGTGAGTTACTATGTTGAACATTTGTAATTTTCTGTTATTCAGAAGAGCTCCAGATTTTTGACCAGATATTATCTGCGTGTGTTATGTCACAATGTAATTGCCATAATTTCTGTTAGTATAGTGATTTTGTGTTATTTACTTTGAATAAGATTTTGTAAATTTTTGAAATTAAGTGACGGTTACAATTTCCTGCTCCTTGAAGAATAATTTCAAACTCTGTTGATGTGGTGGCTAAAATCTTAGAGGCATTAAGGTGCTCACAGAGACTGTGCTGGAACCAAGGTATTGTAGTACCTAATTTTTCTTCAAGCTTAGATTTGTCACGTAAACCATGTTTTGTTGTAATATCTATTAGATGAGTAAGATTAGCTTGGTGCCATGGTCTAAACAGATTGTGACCTTGCCCTAGTAAGAACCATTCTTGATCTAAAAATGAGGAGTGTTGTGATAGATTAGGTACCAGTTTTGTTCTGTTGTTATCTCAGATATGTAACAAAGAGGAGAGGAATTTGTGGTTTTGGATGTGCTTGGGCCTACAGCAAGATTTATTCTAGAGTGCATCTGTAAGTGTTTTGGGGCAGGTATATTCAGATAGGATTGTAACCCAATCCAATGGGTTTTCCAACACTTTAATCACATTACATAATTGGATGGCTTCATAGTAATTGACTAAATTGGGAAGAGAAGAGGAGATGGGATTTATACCCCGCCCTTCACTACCCAAAGGAGTCTCAGAGCGACTCACAGACTCCTTTCCCTCCCCACAACAGACACCCTGTGAGGTAGGTGGGGCGGAGGGAGCTCTGACAGAAACTGCTCTTTTTCAAAAACAGCTGTGCCAGAACTATGGCTTACCCAAGGTCATCCAGCAGGTGCAAGTGGAGGAGTGGGGAATCAAACCCGGTTCTCCAAGATTAGACTCTGTGCACTTAACCACTACACCAAACTCATACCACCTTGTTTAGTGTGTCGATGGCCCCGGTCACACAGGCCGGATATCGCGGGGGGGAGGCGTGGCTAATTGCCCCGGCGCAGTTTGATGCACGATCAGACGCGACGGTGGCACACCACAGGTCCTTCCCTTGGCGCTGGTGGATAAACAAGGGACCGGAGGGGAATGCTGCGCGCTGGTGCGATCACACCGCAGGCATCTGGAGGCAGCCCGTGGCAAACGTTTACTAGTACCTTGGACATACTAGTTTTTTAAGGCGCATTGTCGGCGGTAAACTACCGGTGCGCTCCACTTCCCAGATGTTGGGGTGTGATCGCACCCAGATAATCCGCCCACTATCCGTGCCTCTCCCGCGGCAACTTTGCCATGTGACCGGGGCCGACATAAGGTATCAAGGTTTATGTGAGGTTTTTTTTAATTTGCCCAGATACAGCTAATTAATGTATTTTGCCAGACTCCAAAGTCTTTGTTTGGGTCACTGTTGGTATGGCACAAAAGTAGAATATGAATTTGGGGAGTAAAAAAGATTTCACCGGGTTATAGTTATTTATCTGTGATAGTTGAAATATTTCCCATTTGGCAATCAGTTGAGAGACCTCTCTGTGAAATTCGTTCTTATTTCCCTGAATTCAGTAATTTCTTGAGCAGAAATGTTAATGGGGTATCCTTTTGATTGGGATGGATTGATTTTCAGGCCAGCTACTTGGCCAGACATTCCAACAGTTGGTTCAGATGAGGATCTTCTTCAGGCGCCCAGGTGCTGAAGGTTCAGAAAGCCTCAGAAAGTAGTTACTCAAAGGAGGGCCTTTTTAGTAGTTGCCGTGCTCTGTGAAACTCACTACTTCAGGTTATCTGCCAACCTAACTCTCTCTGACATCTACAGTTGGCAAAAACATTTCCTTTCCCAAATCCTGGGGGGAAAATAGATAAGGTGAGGGTAACAGATATCTACAGCCTCTCTGCTCCTGGCATAAACCTAGTGTGACCAGCCAGCATCCTTAATTCACTAACATTTTTAGAAGACAAGCAGTGTTCCCTCTAAGCTGAGTTAGTGTGAGCTGGCTCACAGTTTTTTAGCCTCCGGCTCACTCATTTTTGTCTTAGCTCAGGAAGGAGGACTCCAGAGCAAACTTGCAGCAGCCAAATCGCTCGCTCACAACTTTAATGTCGGTCGCTCACAAAAGTAGAATTTTTGCTCCCAAGACTCCACAGCTTAGAGCAGTGGTGGCGAACCTAAGGCACGGGTGCCAGAGGTGGCACTCAGAGCCCTCTCTGTGGCCACGCGTGCCATTGCTCCAGCCATGCCCAGACCATCATTAAAGTGTCGAATTCTCTGCCAAATAATTTTAAGGAAATGAAAGCATTTGGGATTGCTTTCCTTACTTTGTTTGGATCATCTTAAGTTAATGTATGAGTTGTTTTTCTAAAGTAAAACCTCAATATTCAGGTTAAATTGCCGTGTTGGCACTTTGAGATAAATAAGTGGGTTTTGGGTCGCAGTTTGGGCACTTGATCTCTAAAAGGTTCGCCATCACTGGCTTAGAGGGAACATTCAAGCAGTTCTAGAGAGGCATGACACGCCCCTAATCTTTCCCCAGTTCAGCCTGCTGGGAGCTTTTTTGGGTGTCACCAGCCTTGAAGCCCAAAGAGTTCTGGCAATAGGATTTATTTGGGTTGAAAGGAAAAGCTTGTATCCCTCAACCCAACAACTCCGTAAATGCTAAGGGGTCA